GATTCCTTAGACAGTTTCCTTTTGTCTAGGATTCTCACTAACAAGCCTCTTTTTATTTTTTATTTAACCTTTATTTATACAGGTAGTCCCACTTAGACTGGGCTTCATACCATCTAATCCTGCAGATGATCTGCAGGGAGTATGCACAACTCCATGCTGATCAGGGGCAGATCTAAAGGGGTGGCATGGGTTGTAATCTCGTGCCACCTCTAGTGGCAACCTGATTTTACAAATACAGTGTTTAAAATAAGCTAGCATTAGCACTTTGAGCCTAGATACAATAAACATTGAATATAAATTCTAAAACTGCATAATGTATTGCATAGTGCATGCAATACACGCAAAATGGTTCAGCCAAAAGCTGGGACCAGCTTTATCTCTTGCTGCCAGTAACAACCAGTTCCTATGATTGTGCCAGGTTGTGCCAATTTAGGCATCCTAATTGATTAATTAACCCCCCCCCCCGAAAAAATTGTTGGTCCTACTAGCACACTGTGAAGAACTATTACAATTTCCACTAAGCCTAACTTAGTGATCCTACCATATTTAATAATATAAAAAAATAAAAAAATATATATATTTAAAGAACAAAAAGTCATGGCCCACAGCCCAGACTGTCATGTAGTGTTGCTGGGGCAGGCAGGAAGTCCTATGTTAGTGTATTCAGTTTTGCTTCCTCCTCATCTCGTTATGTTTGATCTCTCCAGGCTGTTCCCCTCCTGTGTCTCATCCCCTTGTTATCTTTTATGTATTTAAGTCCTGTGTTTTCCTCTGCCTGCTGTCATGTCGTCCCATGTTACTGTGTGTGATTTCTGTCCACTTTGTGGCTCTCGTAACTCCTAGCTCCTAGTTTTCTAGTTCTTAGTCCTAAGTTTAGTTTCCTGTTTGAGTTGTGCTCTTGTACTAAGTGTTTTGCCACAGTGCAATAAAGCTACCTGATTAAGTTCATTCTTTTGAGCTTTGTGAGTCCTGCTTTTAGGTCGCGAGATTGTCAAAGTAAAACATAAAACATGAGACAGAGACACGGAGGAACGGCTGACTTGGAGAGACGGAGAGGGCACATGGAACATGGAGACGCGAAAAATGTGAAACACAGGAAGACACAGAAACAGAAATCTAAGGGATTTAAAACTATAACATAATCACAAAACCATAAAGAGAACCAAGAGCACAAATAACAACAGATCAAAGAATGTAACTTAAACCAGAACTACACAGACAGGCTTCCAGAGGAAGGGATTTAACATTATTCTGTAAAGGAAAAATCAATTTAGTGACTCATCTAGCCAATACGAGAGATGCCTCAAAAATAACAGAAGCAGTTTAAATGCTCCTGATAGTAAATAAATAAAAATGTCAAATGCAGAGATATTCTTTGTAGATACAGAAACATAAGTGTGAAAGAAAGTATTGCTCTATATCTGGCTGTAAATAACTAGCAGCTTACCTGGAGATCTTTACAATACATATAATCAAAATCACAGCAATCAAAATGTAACATAAATCTAAATTCAAGCACCAACATGCATTAATTACACTGACAATTATGGGATTTTATTGTCTTTGTTGCATTTTTGTTTGTGATCCTGTAACCTTGTTTTGCAATACAAGAACTACACAGATAATTATGGAAGGTTATTATTCACTTGATTATTGTTCCAAGTGTGCCCTGGATCAAAGGTCACCCATTGTGTCCTTTCGCTTGTATTCTCTGACCAACATGCACAAGCTTCTTTATTTATTATTTAGCTTTTTTTTTTAATGTCTTCTTGTCTTGAGCCTTTCAAACTGCTACCTGTTATGTACACTGCAAAACGTGCTGCTTGTTGAGGGGCCACCTATGGATTGATCAGGTAGAGCTTAATTTTACTACTAGACTACTAGAGTATAGAAAGCAAGTACTAAAAACAGAGGCTTAAGAGGCTTAGTAAAGAGAACATATCAGTCACAGCATTTTGTGAGAAGTGAGAATGTAATAACAAGTTCCTCTAACCATTTCTGAAGCTCAACATGATACTAAAAACAACCCAGTTTCTGAATCTCATTCAGGTTCCTGCCTGGGGCTCTTGAAAACAGGAACAAAACACAATAGGAGCTGTGGGTGATGTACATTTTGAAAATATATGTAGTATTTGATAATACTGGTGGTACTGATGCTGACTTATATTGAGCTCGTTTTTAGGGCGTACCCATAACAGATTTGCTTAATACAAAACAAGTGATCAGCCCAACAATATTATCACAGAACATATGAAAAGCATGTGCAACGTAATCTGATCAGTATGCCTCCGGGACATGTCCCACATGTATGCGGTCCCCGAGGCAGTTTCTGGACATGCTGGCAAGTTTACATCACTCAGATGGCTTTATATGATTGGAAAAGGTTAAATAAGTCGC